GAAAGGTTTGTTGTTGTCATTGTTGTCAGGTGCCATCGAGTTGGTTCTGACTCGTAATGACCCTGTGTACCACAGAATGAAACACTACCTAGTCCTTTGCCATTCTCACAATCATTGTTATGCTTGAGCCCGTTGTTGCAGCCACTATGTCAGTCCATCTTGTTGAGGGTCTTCCTCTTTTTTGTTGACCCTCTACTTTACCAAGCATGATGTCCTTCTCCAGGGACTGATCCTTTGACAAGGTTTAGTGAAATGTGTAAAGAAGGGACCAAGAAAAGCGTTTATACTTGAACAGCACTAAATAATAAATCACTGCTTCATCTTACAGACTCATTTACAGAGTATGTTTTTGATCTGATTTAACCTGGAGGGAAAATTTTTCTAATTCCAAATAAAAGAATAAAATACTCAGAAGTTTTCTTAAACTGTGTTGATATTAATACAGCGTGTTCTCCTTCAATGCCCTAGCGGTGTCTGCAGCTAGAGCCGTATAATGAAGTATGCCAGTATATGAAAGGACTCAGCCATGTTGCAATGGGACAGTTTTATGAAGGGATAAAAGCACAAACTAAAGTTATGCTAAATGATCCTCTCCCAGGTCAGAAGGCTAGCCCTGAGTATCTTAAAGTGAAATATCTCCGAGGTAAGTCAGAAAATTGAAGAATCATTGAATTTTAATGTGCAAAGCTGTAGAGATCGTATTACTTGACTGTCTTAACGTTCTATATGAGATGACTGAATCTCAAAGAGGCAGGAAACTTGTCCACAGCCACCCCTTGGTGAGCGGCAATGCCTGGGCTGGATAGAGTCCTTGTCTTCTAAAGACGGTCCAGTGTGTCCTCTACTACTTCCTATGTTTTTTCTTTCTAAAGTTTAAAGAAATTTTACTTGAGATAAACCATATTTTGAACAAAATTTAACAATCATCTGGGATATTTAAGTCTCATCATGGGTAGTCTTATCCAAAGATACAGGAATAGCAGGAAGGCAACCTTTTTATGTGGTTTTTACTGTTGAAATGTGAGCTTAGTATCTGTGACTTGTTATTCTCTCATATCAGAATTCTCATATGTTTTTGATAAATTGGGATGAGGAAGAAAGCAAATCTAAGAAGCTATATTAGTCATAGTGTTACTCATGTTTCCTCTACCATCCATAATAATACGATTGTTTTTCTTATAAATAAAGCCCAAATCTTTACTTGCGTTACTCCTCTTTCCTTTGTTATCTTCATTCCTCTATATCATAAAAATTATGCAAGCCATGTGTGTAATTTTAAATTTCTAATAACCACATTAAAAAAGTAAAAGCAAGTTGAATTAATTGTAACAATAAACTTTAATCCAGTATATCCACAATATTGGTTTAACATATAATTAATATAAAAATACTATCAATGAGATATTTTACTTTTTTTTTTTGTACAAAGTCTTCAAAATCTGATGTATTAACAGTGCATCTCAATCTGGATGCTAAATTTTCATTGGAAATACTTGATCTGAATTTAGGTTTCATATAATTCAGTTTAAAAAGTAGATTCATAGTTGCAAGTTGCTTCAAACCTACTAAAGTTTTCTAATAATTGAATTGAGTATTAATTTTTAATTCTAAAATAATTAAATAAAATGAAAAATTTAGTGTCTCAGTCCCACTAGCCACATTTTAAGTAGTCCGTAGCCACATGGCTAGTTGCTACCTATTAGACAGTGCATTTCTTTGCTCTAAATTATGATTCCCATTTTTCCCTGGTTTAGTATAGCTTGGACTTGTAAACTACAGGCTAAAGGAGGGGACAGCCCATATCTAGGGTTTTCTACACTGCTTGTACAGAGATAAGCAGCAGTTAGTCAGCCAGTCAGTGAAATAGTATACCTATCAGTCAATCTATCATTTGACAGAGAACCAGGCTCAGTCTGGTACTGCTCTTGGATTCTCAGGCTCTGGAACTTACAATGAGATCTTTGGTGTAGTGCATGGTAAAAACTAAACCCACTGCCCTTGAGTCGATTCCAACTCATAGCTGGAGCAGCTGGTAGATTCGGACTGCGGACCTTTTGATTAGCAGCCGTAGCTGTTAACCACTGCACCACCAAGGCTCCAGTGCATGGTAAGGTGGTTAAACTTAAGCCAAAGTAGACCCAGATTGACTGGTTTGTTTTTACCCTGGCAACTCAAACCAGTGGCCAGTTACAGTTTGTTTTTTTTTAGCTAAAATTTAGAATCCCCTTTTAAAATTTTCTGTAATTAAATAATAGTTACAAAGCATTTGTATTCCAGCTACTGCGAAAGGTATTTCTTTAGCAATATTTGGTTGTGTCAGATCTCATTTTCTGCCTGCAGAGTATTCTCGATATCTTCATGCACACCTTGATACCCCCCTTACGGAATATAACATCGATGTGGATCTACCTGGAAGCTTCAAGGACCATTGGGCTAAAAATCTGCCCTTCCTCATAGAAGACTATGAAGAACAACCAGGATTGCAACCTCACATAAGGTAAGTGCTTTAAATGAAGGTGAGCTTTTTTTCTTTTTCAAGACTGAGTTAGAAGTTCATC